GGGATGACAGTAAATATTTTAACATACTTCTATACCAGAGATGATCTTTGTCAACCCAACCTAAAGGCTGTATGCTGCAAACACTTATGCAAATAACCCATTGAACTCAGTGGACATACTTGTGTAAATAAAGATTACGTCCATGACTAAAGGTCAGAAGAACTGGGATGTAAGGCCAATATTTAAAATCTGGGTGCCTGGTAGGTTCCTAAATCCATGTCTAAGCAGAGAAGTGACCTGATTTTTAAAAATGCCAGTTGACTTCATTGTGACCATTATTTTATGCTCTGCACTTCTAAAAAGCAGCTTACTTCTATACAGGAATCTAAATATGGATTTAAGAGGCAAATTTTAGACCCTCCAATTTGAATATTTTGGCCTAAGAGGAAGAATCCTTACCATCCTTTGACAAAATTTTAACTAATTGGTCTGCTACTGCTTTTAATTACCCTCCCATTCAATTAGGTGTTATCTTGTAAATTTTCAAGGTCCTCAGTGAAAATGATTCAACTGTTTACTGCAGTGTCCCTTCATTTCCTCACAAAAATCCCCAAACACTTTTTTTTAAAACATGAAAATCATGAAATAAGACAGCAGTGCCAAAAATGCAGTCCTAAAATGCATAAGTCCAGTCTTTGTGCATAATAAAATAGCATCCCCCAGGACCAGCCTCAAGTGCCTCTGCAGAGGCATCACTCCGAAGACTTGAAATGCATGTGGTTTTCATATCTTCCACAGGCTGACTCTTTTGATAAGACTTAATGGTTATAACCTATTTAGGAAGGATCAAATAGGCAAAAGGGGAGGAGTGACGCTCTATGTCAAAAATGGCATTACTTGTTTCCCAGCCACAGATAACTCAGAAGAAAGTGATCTTGAATGCATATGGATCAATATCCTAACAGATAAAGCACTCAATGGGGGTGCTATTTGGTGTCTCCTTCAGACCACCAAATCACACAAGGGAATGGGATATATAATGTGTAGGAGGAAAAAAAGCTGCGTGAGCATGGAGGTCCTCAATTAGAGAGACATATGCTAGAGATTGCATGTGGCCAGTACTAAAACATCCTTGGAATTTCTAAACAGAATAGATAGGTTTGGCAGGATTAATTTTTGGTTGCTGTTTTGTTTTGAGAGAAACTTTCTTTTTAAAGCATTTTTTCAATTTTTATCAATTAAAATGTTCAGAGTCACAGATTATGGGGGCTCAGACAATTATTTAATGACAATAGTCAATGCTGATTTCAAAAAGTTTAAGCTTTATTTTACAGTTAACACAAATTGTAAACTTATCAAAATATACAAATTAAGCATTCTTAAATCAAACTCTATTAAGTTCTCAAGCAGGATTTTTCTTACTTGCTGATCTGTAAATTTTTATCATAATCGATAGAAAAGATTTTTTTCCAATTGGTTTGTGCTTGTACAATGAAATTGATATTTATCTACATTTACGAATAAAAAATTCTAATCCTTCCAATTACATATTATATTTTCCTAACTCAAAATGTTGTGTCCAACAATGAATTCTATTTTAGACCTTGTCTTGACAGATGAAGAGGAAGATCAGAGAACTAAAAATTATTGGTAACTTAGTTACAAGTGATCATGACGATCACATTTATAACACGGAAACAAAATCAAATCCACTTCAGTGAGAAAATATATATTGTTAAAAGGGACAATTTTACAATGCTGAAAACAATTATGAGTCAAATCAGCTGTGAGGAAGAATTTAAGCAGAAAAATTTGAATGATAATTGGGAATTCTTTAAGAACTCTTTTCTTTTAGCTGAGGACCTTGCTGGGCCGTTAATGTTGATTTGTATTATAGATCCTGAAACACTGGGAAACATCCTGAAGACCGAAAGAAAGTCAATGTTGTGCCAATATTTAAAAAGGGTAAACAGGATCAACTGGACAATTATAGGCCTGTCATTCTGACATCGATCCTGGGCAAGTCAATGGAGAGGATGACCCAGGATTTGATTAATAAAGAATTAAAGGAGGGAAATATAATTAATGCCAATCAATATGGGTTTATGGAAAATAGATCCTGTCAAACTAACTTTTTTTTTATATGAGATTAGACGTTTGGATGATAAAGGTAATTGTGTTGATGTAATATACTTCAACTAGAAACTAGAAAAATAAAAAAATAACAGTACACCCCTAAATGGATTAAACCCCTAAATGGATTACATGATGACTAACTGATAGGTCTCAAGATGCAATTGTAAACAGGGAATCATCAAGTGGGTGTGTTTTAGGGGTCCACACAGGGGTTGGTTGTTGGCCTTATGCTGGATAATATTTTTATTAATGATCTGGAAGAAAATAAAAAATAATCACTGAAAGTTTGCAGATGACACAAAATATGGGGGAGTGGTAAATAATGAAGAGGGCAAGTCACTGATACAGAGTGATATGGATCACTTGGTAAATGGGGTACAAGCAAATAATACATGTTTTAATATGTTTAAATGGAAATGTATACATCTAGGAACTAAACGTAGGCCATATTTACACACGCAGGGACTATCCTGGGAAGCAATGTATCCGGAAAAAAAACTGGGGGGTAGTGGTGAATAATCAGCTGAATATGAGCTCCCACTGAGTTGTCGTGGTCCAAAAGGGCTAGTGCAATCCTTGGATGCATAAACTGGGGAATCTCAAGATGGAATAGAAAGGTTATTTTACCTCTGTATTAAGCACCGGTGCAAACACAGGTGGAATACTGTGTCTGGTTCTGGTGCCTACAATTCAAGAAGAATGTTGATCATTTGGAGAGGATTCAGAGAAAAGGCATGAGAACAACTGAAATATTAGAAAACATGCCTCATGAGACTTGAGTAGCTGAGTCTATTTATCTTAACAAAGAGAAGGTTAAGATATTACTTGATTACAGGCTATAGGTACCTATGTGGGGAACAAATATTTAATAATGGGCACTTCAATCTAACAGAGAAAGGTAATAACATGATCCAATGGCTCAAAGTTGAAGCTAGACAAATTCAGACTGGAAATAAGGTGAAAACTTTTGGCAGTGAGAGTAATTAACCATAGACACACCTTACATAGGTTCACGGTAGATTCTCCATCACTGACAATTATTAAATCAAGATTGTATATTTTTATTTTTCTAAAAAGATATGCTCCAGAAATTATTCTGGAGAAGTTCTATGAGCTGTGTTATACACAAGGTTTAGACTAGATGATCAAAGGTCTCTTCTGGCCTTGGAATCTATGTATTGATGATGTTCAGAAGGGGGTCATAAACAATTACAGAAGCCCTGGAACCCATTTTGGTCCAATGAGCCTCTATCACCTTCTACCTTGTAATAATACATCTGGGAAGTATGCTGCTTTTTGCAAACCTAATAAAATGCTGAATCCTAGCTCTGCTTCCTAAATAATGCCCATTTAAAAAAATATTATTCTCTTCTCCTCCTTTTCCTTTATGCAGTGACATGAATAACTCACTTGTGTGATTTTTATTTTGCTTTTATGCCATTTTTAGTGAGTGATTCCCAGGTCTATAAGTGGGTATTTTGGGGGAGGGGATTGTTTTTTTCTTTACTATGTATTTATTTTGCAAAATATGTATTATTTCAGCTCTCACACAACACAGGAATAATCAGGCATTATTTATGAAAGACCAAGGAGCATGCGTTGTTAAGTCATTTTCGCAGACCATGGAGTTGCAATGACATCCCTTCAGGGCAGGGCTGTCCCTACCCATATGCAAACTACGCAGCTGCGTAGGGCACCAGGAAATTTGGGGCACCATGTTTAGGGCAGCTACATATTGCTCCAGCGGCCAGCTCGATCCCACGACCAGCTGAGCCGGTCAGGAAAGCTGCCCCTGCTCCCGCCCACTCCACTCCTTCCCTAAAGCCCCCACCCCTGCTCCATCCCCTCCCCACCTCTTCCCAAACCTGCTCTATCCCAGCCCTGCCCCCACCCCACCCCCTGAGCTACATCCCGGGGGACTGCAGCAGGAGTCGGGTGCGCCCTGCACTCACCGGGCAACAGGAAGTGGAGTGACCCAGCCCGCTCCCAGCCGTGCCACTGGCTTGTGCTGGGGGGGGGCAGTTTCCCCTTGCCCCCCAAGTCCCAAGGCTGGGTTTAGGTAGCAAAGGCAAGCACTGAAGTGTTAGGAAATGCCAAATTTACAGTTGGTCATGCAACCTTAATTCTACCCTCGTGCATCCATCCTGTGCACTGAATGAATCAGGTTGTTTGAGGAAAAAACTAGTATGTGATCATGTAATTAATTACAGATTGTACTTAATGCATGTGCACAAGGGAGCAAAATAGATTACACAGGAAAATAATCCGGAATTTCTTCACTTTCAAGTGCTTGACTTTATGACAATGTTCTTTTTACAGTTTAATAGGTAATTTCCTAATTTTTTTCTAAAAGAAGAATAAACGTCTATTATATCTAAGTGTAACAGCAGCTGCATTACAAACAATGTTTGAACCCAAACCTTCAGCACAGCTCACAGACTTCTACCACTTGCACTACAGGACTTATTTCTTATTACATTGCCTGCCAGCAGGAGAAGGCTAATATCTTAGAACAGAGGTGTAACGACGTGGCCTGTGGCGGGACACTACTGAGAGTATCAATTCAGGACAATTACTTAGAGCAGGGCAGTCACAGCCCAAGGCTGGGTGTCCTTTGCACACCAAACCAACCAAACAGAGAGGACTTTGGTTTTACCGCACTGGCGAACCAGAAGTCATACAAGCAATTCCCGTTGACACTCCAGTTTCCCAGTATCACCACCAGCACCACTCCTTATGGGGATGAATGATTATGAAAACCAATACCCCAGTACAAGCAAAAAGGTTCTCCCAATCCCAAAGGGCCAAGCCCCAGACCCAGGTCAATATACCAGTTAGATCTTACCCACAAATCACGCTGTTGCCAATCCTTTAGAATCTAAAAGTTTATTTATAAAAAGAAAGAAATATAGATGAGTTAAAATTGGTCGAAGTAATCAATTACATACAGCAATGGCAAAGTTCTTGGTTCAGACTTGTAGCAGTGATGGAATAAACTGCAGGCTCAAATCAAGTCTCTGGACTACATCCACAGCTTGGATGGGTCATTCAGTCCTTTGTTCAGAGCTTCAGTTTGTAGCAAAGTGACTCCAGAGGTAAGAAGCAGGACTGAAGACAAGATGGAGGAGATGCAGCTGCCTTTTATAGTCTCTTGCTATGTGGCCTGTGCTTCCTTTGTTCCAGATACAAGCTTCCAGCACATGGCTTGAAAGCCTTAGAGTCCTCTTCGTAGGCATGCCCCTGCATGCCTTGCTGGATCATAAGGTGTATCTGCTTTCTCTCAGTGGGTCAGTTGTACAGCTGATGGTCCTTAATGGGCCATCAAGCAGGCTAGGCAGTGCTGATGCCAAACTGTCTGGGGTGTCACCTAGAAGCATAGCACAAGTTTGATATACATACAGTATTATAAGCCAATACTTATAACTTTAAATACAAAAATGATGCATGCATACAGATAGCATAGTCATAACCAACAAATCACAACCTTTTCATAGATACCCAACTTGACCTCCTTTGTACAAGATTTGGTGCCACTATAGGACCTTGGTTGTGGCAGCAGCATGGATATAATCTTAAAATGTTCATGTTCAGTTATTCTGGCTGTCAGTCAATTTCATGAGATGAAGAAAAGTCACTTCTATAGCTTGAAGCCTTTCTTCTTGCTGTATTTCAAAGGGTTGTTACAAACAATGAATACGGCTGTAAGAGGTTGACAGTTTTTTGATTCAAAAGTTGCGGCCACAGTTAACACTGCAGTTCCATTTTTGCAGCATGTGGCATTGCAATACCAAATTTGGGGCAGCCACCTCTCTGTCATGATGGCAATTTGCAGCAACTACAAGTTGCAGCATGTATTAAACGTTGCAGTTTCCACAACACAATTGTGTCCTTTCCCCCATGGGTGGCAGGTATAATAGGCCAGGGGAGGCTCAGCGTCCCCTGGCACTGCTGCCGGACCCCCGCTGCCGGGTTTGGTAGGGGGGAGTTTTTGCTTTATTATGCCCCATGCAGGTTCCAGGGCAGCTGAGGAGGCACTATGTACTATTCAGCTTCCTGGGTTCATCAGTAATCACTCTGAATTCCAGGGAGATTACTGATGAACCCAGGAAGCTGAGTAGCAAATACCACCTCTTCATCCGCCCCGGAACCTGCATGGGGCATATCAAAAGCTTCTTCCAGATCAGAGGTTTTCCCCCCAAGGCGGCTTGGGGTCTGGGGAGGGGAGAAACAGCTGCAGCTGACCTGGGGCACCTCCGCGGGGGCGGGGAGGTGCTTCGGCCTCCGGCTAGCCTGGGGCTCCTCTGGCTGAGGGGGTGGGTGGGGGGAAGCACTCGGGGTTCCTCCGGGTGTGGGGAGGGGCGCATGGCTCCAGTCATGGGAGGAGGGGAGGGGCCTGGGCAGAAAGGGCAGAGCCAGGGGCTAGCCTTGCTGAAGGGGGGTTCCACCCACCACCCATGCTCTTCCCCCCCCCCAAAAAGCAAAGAAAGTGTTAGGCAACCTAAATATAAGGGCAGCTAGCACCTGCACCTATAAATTATGCATAAAGCTGTTCCCACTCACGTCCCTACCTTCAACCTATTTGGAAACAGAGTGGAGCCTCCTAGAATAGCCCACCCCTGCTTATTCTTTTTCCTCACCAGGAGAATAGCAGGGGTTTATGAGGCCCACCACACTTTGGTGAATGTTATCTTTTGTCTCTTCCTAATTATCATGCATTTTTCCTTTGTGCTTTGAATGGAGGGAAGATTAACAGCTTTTTTGTTTAAAAATCAACTCCATAGCACTGTTACTAGCAACAAACATAACAGCTAATTTTATCATACTCTGATCTTTACTTGTGTTCCGGAATCATCTGCTAACATCAGCAGGGCTCTTGAAACAACATACATGTTACATTGTTTATAGAATCAGGAGACGAAAAGCTAAACAGTGGACTGGATTCTGACTGTTCACATTTGTGTAACTCAAGAATATCTCAATTGACTAAAATTATATTAATCAGGATTTGCCCCTGGATGACCAAAACCAGAATCTGGTCCTTTGCTTATCATGGCACCCCCAGATGCAGTGACTAACTTAAAAAAAAGTTTCCTATTGATAAAACAGACTTTTTAAAAAGAAAGGAAAGGGAAACAGAATACACAGGCATACTCCCATCAAATCATTATTGTACCATACAGCAGAATCCAATATACAGCCTAAACTATTTGAACGTTCTGTTAAAACCCCACACAAAAAATTAAGCATTGTTTTCTCTACAGTTAATAAAAACAAAACCACAAAATATCTGCATGTTCAAAAACAAGATGGCACAACACTTTGTTGAAAGTTTACTAAAGACTTTAAGAATTAAATCATTCTCACTGTATGTTAAATTTAATATTATTCATGGGGGCAATAAAGTCTAACAGCACACTCAGAAATGTTACCTGAAGCTACAGTCTGAAGAGAATTTATTGACAAAGGAAATATAATTTTTTTTTACATATTTTCTATGGCAGACTTGCTGTCTGGCCAAACTGGCACCATTACTATTCTAATGGCTGTAAACAATGTGAGATAGGAATTAGCTTAGTAGGGAAGCTTATTAAAATACTGTTTTTGTTTTATTTATTTAAGAAGTGTACAAAGTGATAATCTGTGTTTTAACTTGTTTTGTGACTGCATCTACTACTACTTTGGTGTTTTATGAGTTTTAAGACTACATACTCTCATTGACTTCAGTGGGCTTTGGATCAGGCCCTCATTGCAGAAATTAAACAAAAATACATATAGGGACACATTTTAAAGCAGGCCTCAAATTTTGTGTCCACAGTCACATGATCAGGTTTAGATCGCTGATTGTGACCATTAGTCAGGTAGCTAGTTTTTTTAATCCTATCATTTGTACCTGCAATCAATTGTAGGTTCAAGATAGTGAACAAAAAGCAGGCTGAGATGAGGACCATTTAAAAATCTGGCCCATAATATTTTCCCATCTCATAATGTTTTTGATTCAAAAATAGGATGTAGTCCCAAGAGCATACTCAGATTCCTATTTCCAATATCCTTCCACCCACTCAGTGGCTTGAAATAAGGCAAAGCTCCCAGGGAATTGCTGAACAAAGACATCCTATATCTGAGACTTGTCATTGTTCACTGAAACCAAAGCACAGAGGAAATGGGTTTTAAACTGTTAAGGATCTGGCTTAGTTCACAGCACCACTGAAGGATCAGTTTTTGTGTAAAATATATATTTCACCTTGGAAGCACACAGGACAGCTGACAGTTGGACATTATACTTTCCTTTACTTCAGACATTCAAGTGGGCAAGAGAAGCATAGAGATGGGGTTGCTACACCAATTGTGAACTAGAGAACAATTACTTCAGTGAACAGGCTGGAAACTGGTCTCTGAGTAGATTGTAAGAGCAAGATTTATTACTGCCTATCATATATGGATAACTGATCTGCTGTTGTGCACCAACAGAAATAGGAGATTTTTATCAAAGCATCAGGATAGAATTGTAGATTAGATTCCTGATAACGAAATGATTGTGATCATGGGAGATATAAATGCAAAGGTCAGTAGCAGACATAGTAAGCAAATGATTTGTGTTGGACCACGTGGCATCAGGATGGCATAATAATAGTGGGGAAAGCTTAAGAATTAGTGAGATGCACAATCTGATTATTAGCGGTTCTTGGTTTCCTCACAAAAACATTCACAAGGTTACATGGAACTCAGAGGGTCAGACTAAACACCAGATTGACTACATTAATCAAAAGACAGTCACTGCTGGCTTTTATAGTCTATAGAAGTTCCAGATGTGCTAGTGATCATGAACTACTAATGGGAAAGATTAAAAACCAAGAAAAAAAATGGGTGCAACTGGAGCCACATTTGACCCTGATAAGGTAAAGGATTGCTCTGTCAGAGAGGCAAACAAACAGAGTGATGCTTGGAGGGTGTTTCAGGCCATTAATTTGTGACGATGAATAAATATCACTCCAAACCAGATGGGAAATATTCAAGGAAGTGATCCAATAGTTTCCTCAACTGTGCTTATGCCTTACAAAGTAAACAAGGGCAAGCAATGAAACAAGAATGTTACAGGAAAAGTGTAAACAAACTGAGACTAAATGTTACTGGGAAAGCAGAAAAATAAAAGCATTACACAAAGTGGTGAAGAAAAAAAATCTCAAAGATTGGACATACAAATGTTTTGGAAAGAAGAGGCTCAACAACTAGAAGAGGCATCAAGAAAAGATATACAAAAAGGTTAAGTTGTATGAACACAAAATCAGGCCAATTACGCAAGCGGTAAAAATGGCTTTTGGTGAACTGACAAATGCCAAAGAGGTGTTGGAAACATGGAAGTGGCATTTTACAAAGTGCTAAGCCCTGAAGTTCATCCAGGTGCAAGCACTCTGGACACGCTAGACAAACAGAGCAGTTTTAAAAGTAAAATGAATGACCATCTGAAGAAATCACCATCAGAAGAAACAAAGAGCAGAGATGCACTTAAAAAATGGGAAAGCTACAGAAATACACAATATAGCAGATGAGCTGCTAAAAGACAGCAGGACTGTCACTAAGCACTGTCAGAGCATTAGAAAAAATATACAAGAAGCTCTGGGAGCAAGAGTAGATACCAGACTGGCTAAAGAAAATAGTTATATCAGTCTTGAAGAAAGGAGAGCCTGCCAATCTCTGAATAATTATAGAAGTATAAGCTCAGTGCCAGGAAAAATCATGATGAAAGTAAACAACAGATTAAGGCCAGTTTTAGAGGAAGTAGTTGGTGAGGAACTGTGCAACTTCAGGCCAAAGTTGCATTAATCAGACATTCATGCTCCAACAGGTGATTCACAAAAAGTGAGAATGGGGACTAAAGAGGTTTCCAGTTTTCATCAACATTATGGTTTGTAGTGGTTCCTCTCTCTCAAGTGAGGAGGGAAGCCACTCCGCCTTGCTGTGTCAGGTAACAGCATTCAGGCTCAGGTCCCGCTGGTGGGGCCAAGCACTAAGTAGTCTATAGCTCTGTAGCCACCTAGCAGAGGCAAAACAACCAGTAACAGTCTGGTGCTCTAGCCCTCTCAGGCGGGGCAGAGCAGTAAGCAGTCTTTAGCCTAAGCCTCCTGACTAAGGCAGCCAGAAAACACACAGTCTAGGGCTAACCATCTCCTGATGGGGGAAAGCCACAAGCCAAGTACAGGCATTCTGACCTAGGAGTGCACAGGCTGCCACCCCAGGGGTGGAGTTGGCAGCTGGGTGGCTAGGAAGACCCAGGCCCACCCGACTCCACTGGGTCCAAGCCCTGGGCCCTAACTTTGGTGGAGTGTTCCACCACTGAGTCAGTGGGGAATCTAGCTGCAACATACTGAC